GTACCACTCACGTGGGGATGTTGACAGTAGGGGAGGTTGTGCATGTGTGGGATGTGGGATATGTGGGAAATCTCTGTAACCTTCTCTCAAATTTGCTGTGAACCTAAAACTGCTTTAAGAAATAGTCTATACACAAAAACAACAGCGACTCCTCTAGACGCTTAAGTCAGAAATCTGGAGTCCACCTTGCCATGTGTTTGGCTCCCTCCTCCCAAGCTCACCAGTACTCGAGGCTTGGGAATTCCACTATCAGACTTCTCCTACCCCACAGCCTCCAGTACGGCCCTCCACAGCAATGGCCTCACCTGTTTCTGTCACTTACCCTCTGAGAAGCAAGACCATCTTCTTAAAGCATACATTACATCATAGCATCTCGTTACACTTGGGATAAAATTTTAAATCCTTATTTTGGTCTCTAAGCCCCTAACCATGACCATGACTGTGGCCCGAGCTCACCTCTCCAGCCTCGTGGCACAACTTACTATGTGGCAGGTGCACTGACCTTCTCAGCCACTCCCAAGTGCCAAGACTCAAAGCTTTGGCACACAATGGCCTCTCCACTTATGCTTCAAGAATCAATTTAAAAGCCTCGCCCTCAAAAAGTTCTTGCTAACCCCTGCCTGCACCACAGAGTGACTTCTCCCTCTGCCCATTCCTACTTTCTTTCCCCCTTCCCATCCACGATGCCAAGATCGCTCTCTAATAAATGCCTGTTAACCTCCCCCTCAGAGCTGGGTTTCCAGAGAATCCAACATGCATGATTGGCAAACAGGGTAAAGTTTGTTTTGGAGGACTAATGATTCAGAGTCAGCAAATTTCAGCCAGTAGGCCAAATTGGTCCACTGCCTGTTTTTGTAAATAAAGTTTTATTAGAACATGTCCACACTCATTTATTTATGCATTGTCTGTGGCTGCTTGAGTTGAGCAGTTGCTATGGAAACCATCTGGCCCTTTACCCAAAAAGCCTTATAGACCCCAGTTTTAGATCATTAAAGAAAAATCATATTTGTAAAATAAGGGCTCCTCAAATGTCTTCTGGCTCCTCTAGTAAGAAGTTCTCATGGGACTGAAGGAGCAGAGCCTAATGCAGATTTCTCTGGGAGGCTTGACATGTATGCATATAGTCTGTCATTTTCCCTTGAGGGATGGAAGTACTTTCTTCATGACATAAACCTGCCTCACTAAACATGTATTAGATTATAGCATCAGAACACCGGTAGACACAGTAGACACTTCGTGATCCCGCAGGAATCCGGTCATTCCTCTCCAGTGAATCCTCTCCAGCCATCCACATCTTTGTTCACTAGTGATGCTAAGCTCCACTGGGGACTTCTCAGACCAAGGCCACCAGGAGCCTGAGCACTGGCTGTAGCATACTGAGACAGAGAGTCTACCACAGAACATCAATGCTTGGGGCAAATCAAAAAAGTGCATTCATAAGTCTCTTCTCCAAAAGCATCTAACGAACTTCCATGGATGTCTTGGAACAGGGGAAAGCTTCAGATCTAGGCCACGGATGCAAAATGAAACTGACAGGAAGTAACGTATCAAAGTCAATACTGTTTTAGGCATGCAACACCCAGCAAAGAGAGAACTACTCAAATCAATATTGTATATCCCATAGAACACCACAAAGAATGGGATTTCAGTCTGGGAAGGATTTCTGAGCCAATAAATTCTAACTACCAAATGACGTGGCATATTACATTTAATTAGAAATTAACTGTGTAACTCAGTCTCCTAATAGATTCTGGCCACCAGATACTAATATTACTCTATATGTCCATGAGTGGTCTTCAAACATTCCCACTGTGGTGAGAATGGAGACGGGGCCCACCACTGAGAGAGTCCCCACCAATCAAACAGCTCTGCTTAGGACTGTCACTGAGAGGGTACAGCCTTCAGCACTGAATGGCCATGTGGACTCAGGCAAATCATTTCATCTTCAGCCTCATTTGTCTTAGCTGCAAAATAGGGATAATGATACTGTCTTGACAGAATGGTCTGAAGGATTCCAAGTGATGGACACAACTGATGTCAGCCAGGGCCTGGCATCTAGGATCTGCGTGGTGTATGCTGTGGTCATTGGTAGGATGAGCGCTGAAGATGCTGTGACCCTTCCTCAGAGCAGGGCAGGGAGCTGATCAGTGCCCATTTGCGGGTGCTGGCAGGAGGCATACCAACCCGTGGAGATACAAAGAATGGACATATGGGGACTGAGGAGAAGGGCAAAACAGAAAGCAATTCTTCAGCCTCTAGAAAGAGAACAGGTCTCTGTGTGTCAGTTAGACTACGACGCCCCGATAGACATGGCCTATCTATACTGCACCAAATGTTTGCAAGTCTCCCATCTTCCCTAATCTTAGTAGCCTTTCTGCATGTCTGTCCTGGAGGCTCATTCTAGAACACAATGTATAGGACTTCCTGTTGGGTGACCTAACGACTAGAACTGAAACTGCCTTGCCTCTGTTTGTAGAATCTTCCAGACTGCACCTCCCTTGTGGCTGAATGTCAACAAGGTGGCTAGAGAGGACGCTGCTCACGCAGGATTTGGGGATCCTTCAGATGAAAAGAATCAGATTCAGTAACGATGAAACAGGAAGACTGCTAATAGCATGTGTGACCACAGGAGGCTGTCAAGAATGCCTCCGATGAGATCCCAGTTCCAGAGAGGAAACACAAACAGCTCCTCAGAGTTTTTTAAATTTTTAATTTTTTTGGAAGATTTTATTTATTTGACAGAGAGAGAGAGCACAAGCAGGGGGAGCAGCAGAGGGAGAGGGAGAAGCAGGCTCCTTGCTGAGCAGGGAGCCCGATGTGGCACTCGAACCGAGGACCCTGGGATCATGACCTGAGCTGAAGGCAAATGCTTAACCAACTGAGCCACCCTCAGAGCACTGTGTAGGTTAGCCCAGGACAGACTGTGTTAGTTAGAGCCTCTGAGTCGTGCTTATAAATCTCAGGCAAGAATTCAGTAGCGTGGACAAGAAGGGCTTTCTTGTCACCTGGGAAGGAATACATCCCATTGCAAATGAGTTTCTGAGTGAGAAAGTATGAAAGTCCGGGGAGGGTTGTGTGAGTGAGTGTGTCTACGCAAACATCTGAGGTGTGTGCCCAAAATGGTTGAGTTCAAGTTTCTGTGGTTTTTGAGCAGGATGACTGAGGGACCCAGAGTCACATGGACACTCTCCCTCACAGATTCACCTCAGGCAAATAGAACAGAGATTTTTTTCAAGCTAGAGGGGACTTTCAAGAACACCAAACACACCTCTTCTTTAGCCACCTAGATGAAGAAACAGGCTCTGAGAAGTAGGGTGGCTTGTCCACCTTCACTGCACAGGAAAATAATAGGTCGGCAACTCTCAAAAAGGTGAGCTGGCCTCTGTGAATATCTTTCCTCAAATGGTAGAATGAGTCCACATGATTCACAGCCACTCAAATCCTCCACATGGAATCCTTGGGATCTGGAGTTATTCTGAGGGAAGTCGGCCCATGGGAAGTAGAATTAATTCAATACTCTGCCTAAGAACATCAGTTACCCGAGTAGTCATTCCACAAAGTCAAAGTCAAGTATCTTCTCTGCACCAAAGCCAAAATAAGTTAGGGTGGGGTAGGGGATTTTCTCTGCTCATGTTCCTCTCCTCTGAAATCAATCTTTGGGACCTGGCTCTAGTGATTTCTAAAGATCCTTTGGTGGAAGTGCCATAAATCCAAATGATTATTTCACACCATGCGACACAACATAAAGACAAAGATGTGCCTTGGTGGGGGTGGCAGACGTACAACAACGTAGGTTGTATGTTTCTGGAATCTTCATCTACAAGGAGGAGGAAGTGGTTGACTTGAGCAACTTCTTAAAAATACTAAATTAAGGTCCATCTTTGCAACACTGATAAGGGCTTACTTCTTCTTTTTTGCAATAAATCTTGTAAGACTCAGAGGCATTTTGATGGTCTAATCAACCTGAAAGCCATGTCAAATTGCCTTAGAAATCTCTGCGCATTCAATATATACACACTTGTTAAAATTAATTACATCATTCACCATTTCTACACACATTATAGCTTAAAATGTTTTACAGTCATTTTTATTAATAAATCCTTAATGGACAAAAATTATACTATAAAATTATTGTATGTATGCTGCATTTCCAATTTTACTGCTATTATCTTTAAATATTTCCCCCAAATGGAAAGTCACTAATTTATAAATCAGAGTCTCTCCTAGAAAGTAAAACTGAAAATTGGAAGTTTATACAGAGAGAGAAATCTGGTGTCAGGCTAAAGCCTGTTTTCCTCTTCCTGCTGTCCTAAGAAAGGTAAAGTGTGCCCAGGGCTGCTGACATCTGGGAACTGTGGCAATGGCAGAAATAGCAAATTCTAGCCAAGTTGCCCCAGAAAACTGCTGCTTTTGCAGTTTGGAGAGTCCCCAATTTGCATCTTTTTGAAAATGTCCCATAATTACTAATCCCCCCCCCCCACACACACACACTCCATTATAGACGATTATTTCTAAGAGCAATCCATAAATACAAACGGCCGGATTGAAAAGGAAAGAAGAGCAGGACTGTAGACCCTTCCAGATACCCAGATGTTCAGACCAGAAATACAAAACCTCTGGGCGTGGACAGCACTTTGTCCTCTTCTCCCTGCTTTGGAGTGATATGGGCCTAAAATAAATTCATCTGCAGGCCATAGTTTCCTGCTCATGACATTACAGGGTCTGGAGCTATTGTTGGAAACAAAACTTTGAGGGAAGGTCCCTGAGAATCAGATAACCGTATCTGTGAAAATCTAAGGCAGACATCAACACTGAGCTACCAATTGCCAACTCAGAGCAGAGCAGATAAAGCGATGCTTCTGAGAACCACTTCTTGAAATATGGGAAGTCATGTAGAAGAAACTCACTACCCACCTTGGCAGGGGACTTGCACAGATTACCTGAGGGGTGGAGATCTGTACTTGGCGGCCCCACCTCCGGAGGATGAGTGTGTCACTCACCTGCTGTGTAACTCCAGCCAGGAATGTGGATGGACAGTTGGCTGCCACCACCCCCGGTGTGCCGAGTGGTATAGTCCTCTCTCCCTTTTCTTACTGTGACCTGCTGAACTCCCACATCCGAGAATGCTTGCTTTTCCAACAGACGGGAGCCCCTCCAAGGACGGGTGCAGGGCCCCAGATGCACCTGCTCCAAGGACGGGTTTTCCTTCAAGAAACTTCCTTGCAAACCCGGGTTCCAGCGGGGGCCTAGGAGGTTCTGGTTTCCCTCCGTGAGCTCCTGCTTCAAAGCACTGCTCATTGGCCCTCCATTAGCTGTGCCGTCTACTCCATCTGGTGTCAATCCGTGTGAACTGCAGTTTAGGTTGAGCGACAGGACCGACCTGTGCATTTTAGGGCCAGCAAGCGGAGGCTGCTCAATGGGGACGGAGAGGGACCGGTCTAGATAGTAAATGGAATTGGGGCACTGCTGAGACACCCTGACATGGACGCAGGAGCTGAACACCAGCGGCCCCTTTCCCGACCGCGCGGCACCCAGAGGAAAACTGTCCTCTCGGGTGTCCACATCCGTGATCCAGTACTCGTGAGTCTCGCACAGCCGGGGGTCCGTCTCGGGCACCTTCAGCCTCATCCCAGAGCAGTTTCTGGAATAGTCCGCGCAGGTGAACGGTCCCTGGTGCCCACGGGGCTCGGCACCCCCAGCCGGAGCAGAGGCGTCCCTGAGCAGAGCGCCCTGGGCCCGGCACTCGGTGCACCGCGGGCCCCCCACGGCCTCCCACGCCAGGGTGCCGGCTGCGGGGCCCACGCGCCTGGCCGTGATGGTGATGGACGCAAAGCCCCTTTGGGGGCCGCTGCACGGCTTCTCCTCGTTGGACGGCAGCTCCGTGTTAGGTCCTGGCTCCTGGGCCGCCGGCGTCTGAACGCCCAGCCTGCCGGGAAGGAGGGCGAACGCCCGGCTGATGGAGACCCCGCTGCGGTTCACCCGCGACGGCCTGGCCGTAGGCGCGGCGTGCAGAGCCGGCGCGCAGGGCGCGGGCGGCGCGGCCCGGTTTGCCTTTGATTTACTCTCATCCATCAGCTGTGAAATGACGAGGGATGAAATCATTTTTGTGCTGTGCGATGCCAGAGTCTCCTGCAAATGGGAAAAAGATGACAATTATTCAAACAGCCTATTGTAACGCAGGCAGTCAACTCCCTTTCAAGGGCCGAGAGGACATCCCAGAATCCTGTTCTCGGCCAAGGCCTTCTACCCCGCACCCGGCCCCACCTCTGTGTGCTCGGAAGGGCAGCTAGACCCAGATCCGTCTGTGAAACGGTTATATATTCTGGAATCATTCTTCTGATCGGGGAATTGGTTTTCTCTGCTGGGTGTCTATTCTTAAGTTTATTTAACGATGTTTGTGTCGATGGGGGTCATCAGATTTCAATAATCACCTCCATTAGGCCCAGGAGCACCTGAAGACATGTTCACAGCCTCAAGCGGGGAGGGTAGACGGAGTTCTGGAACAGGGCTGGGACCTGGGCCACGGGTTTATATGGGAAATGAGTTAGCACTCCTGGGGGGCGGGAGGCCTCTCTGCATTGCCAGCCCTCTAACACAATCCTCTAACTCTGCTGATTCACACTGGGATTCAGTGGCTCCCCATGCTTGCCGTGGTGGGGGTCAAATCCCAGACAAGGGAACATAGGTGATCAAACACCCACGCTGGACAGTTACCTAGACTAACACAGCGACCATGAGAATCACGTATCAGAAAGGAGGGGTGTTGCACAGGACAGTGGTGGTTCGTCTGGGTTTCAGTGCTCAGGGGCATAGGCACAGTTACTGTCCAGGAGAGGGATCAAGGTGTTCCATGCTTCCTTATCAGCACATCTGTGTCCTAACAGTAAACTGCTAGTGTATCCAAAACAACGTGCTGAGATTTTTAATAAAGCATCTAACCGGGTCAACACCAGGAGGAAGAATCTCTTCAGTCCTGGTTTTGTTTTTAATATGTGTATGTGTGAAACATTGCAGAAAATGACACGGATGGCTGAATAGTCAATGCTCACAGGGTCGTAGGCCCCCATTTTGATGCTCAGTATTCTACTTAAAACAAACCCTTGCCTGCAACAGCACAGGACCCAAAAGAATCTGGTAACCACTCAACTCCCACCAGCAGTGTAGCCTTCACGAGGAGCCTGGAGGCTTCATTGGTGCTCGGCAAGGAAGCAGCAATTCCCACGCTGTAAGGGGCCTGAGAATCACCTGGAATGTTCACAACTGCAGGCTCCCCAGGCTCCAGAGTTCCAGATTCTGTGGGCCTGTGGGTGGGGCCCCAGCATCTGCATTTTAACCAGCATCCTGGTGATTCCGATGTAGGTGATCCAGGGAACACGCTCTGAAAAGCTCGAACAACTGCTGGTCTTTTGAAGGAAAGGAAGGGCTTGTGTTTGAGGAGACAATTGTTCTCTTTTCCTTAGATGTGATAAGAAAGCACAAAATTTTCTTTTCTTCAGAGCAGGATTAACACCCATTTATGCCACTAACATAATGCTTTCCTCCACCTGGACTTCTGACAGGAGGGCCGGCCCATGGGATCTTAACACCCAAGGCTCGTGGCATTCTGACTTAGCCACCGGAAGGTGGTCAGCTTCTCAGTTTTTCCTTTTTTTTTTTCCTGTTTTTCATCACGATCCCCATAACCTGACACATGGTTAGATTTTAAAGCTACATGGGAAGTTGCAAATTCAAAAGATTGAACCAGAGACAGGTGAAGAAGAAGCAGAGTCGTCTTAAACTTCACTTCATCTTTTAAAAAATCTAAATATCACTGGCTACCTTTTCCCGGATGGCTAGCGAGCTCCAGGCTCTGCTTGAAACCTCTTTCAAGGTGGAGTCTTCTCTTCAGCACGTCTCATAACATATAACCACCTGGGAGCTTGTAGAAGCCTCAGCCCCGAACAACAGCATCAGAATCCCTGGAGGTGGGGCCAGGCATCCTCTTTTTTCCATTTCCAATGTGATTGCAGCAGGCAGGCGATGTTGAGAAGCACCACCTGATGCTTCTGAGGCACCTCGCTCTCCTTTCTACACATCACTCTCCACGGCTGGGGTTTACATACAAGAACAGTGAGATGTGCCTCGCACCTACCCCAGGCAGTTTGACTTGGTACGTAGTCCCTCCCTAGTTAAATTTAGTTCTGATAAAATTGTGCCCGTGCATCCTACCAGGTGCGTAATCATACCTGGTAGGAATTCCTTTGGCACAGGTCTCTCAAAGAAAAAGCAAATATTCATCTTGGAAAGTGTGCTGTGTTGGTCTTATTTTATACTTTATAGCAATGTTTCCCAAAGTTTGGGCCAGTGACCACTGGCATAAAAAACACCCAGTGTGGGGAGGGTTAAAAATGCCAATTTCTGGACGCTTCCTTCTCCCTCTCTAGACCTAAGGTGAATCAGGAGCTCTGGGGATAAGGCCAAGCAGCTGTGTTTTTAACCAGCTGCCAGGTGATTTTCTGCACAAATACGGAAGAAGGAATGCCAGGCCAGGATCAGACCTCCTGGGGTCCCTCCTGAGCACACGCTGGAGGGACGCGCTGGGGCTACACTGGGGGGTTGTGGGTACCAATGTAGGAGGTCCTAGAGGCCCAGAAGGGTGGGATAGAGAATCACCCACCATCTCATTACCTTGGGCCTGGCAGGTGTAACTGACTTTGAGTCCATCAAATGCAAATGGATGAAGGAAGAGCAACAATGAATGAAATGAATTTGAACTCAATTCTGAAGCTGGGAAATCACCTGGTATGTCAGGGTGACACTGTTCCTGCGGGGAGAGAGGCTGATCGAAGCCCAGTCCCAAAGAAAAGTCTCTTTGCCTTCTCTACCTTACCAGGAAGTTTTGGAGATCAGAAACAATGGAGGACGTGAAAGTACCTCTCAAAATATGAACATGATACGTCACTGCAGGGTATGACTTTTTCTGTGATTTAACAGAAATCAGAGGATGTCTGATGGACTCAAACCTCTGGATGAGTGAAGGAGTATTTATAATGAATGCATTTGGGTTAATTTGAATTACACAAATGGAAATAACCTATTACATACCCAATACATTCAAATTTTGTCGATGTGAATGTAGAATGAATGAAACCTTTCTAGATGAAAGTTCTGTCATCCTAACATAGAGTCATGATCAACCCATTTATTCATGAACATCAGACAGATCTTTTGAGCTCCTACTACAGGAAACTGAGGAAACTTCTTGGCCCCATGGAGTTAACAAAGGGGAGAGAACACCAAGAAGATAATCAAATTATCAAGACTGGGATTATTGGTTAAATTTTACTGTGGTTTCTTCTGAGGTATTTACACTCAGCTTTGACAAAAGCCCCAACTGACAGACTGAGAGAAATTAAAAAGGAAACACTGTACTCTTTGCTCGTCAAAACACTAATCCCACTCTTGTATGGGAAGTTCTATTTATCAGATCTTATTTTCTCATTAAGATCCATTAAATCATTAAAGTCCAACCTCTTAAAACTCTGGGCTGCCACACAAAGCACTACAGTCTGGGTGGCTTAAAAACAGAAATTTTATTTTGTTACAGTCTTCACATTCTCTTTCTTCAGTGTGTGACTGTGTCCTAATGTTCTCCTCTTGTAAGGGCATTGGTCATATTGATAAGGCCCAACCTAATGACCTCATTTAACCTAAATTACCTCTTTAAAGATTCTGTCTCCAAACACAGTCACACTCTGAGGTACTAGGAATTAGGACTTCCACACATTCAACTGGAGTGGGGTAGATGGTCCATGACAGACTACAGTATAGCACTTTGTGTCCAGCTCTTCTTCCGGGGCTGGGAAGCCAAGAAAGAGATGAGACAGAGGAGCTATTTGATGTTCCTAACTTGGCCCACTAATTTTAAAACAGGGAAACTTTTTAAAAAAGTGATCACATCTTTCACATCAAATATCTTTCCCAGTGAAGCTATTTCAAGATGCCCCTCCATCTGTTCTTTATATTGTGTTAACTGAACATGGCTTTGAAAAAAAAAAGAGTATCGGGCGCCTGGGTGGCTCAGTTGGTTAAGCGACTGCCTTCGGCTCAGGTCATGGTCCTGGAGTCCCGGGACCGAGTCCCGCATCGGGCTCCCTGCTCGGCAGGGAGTCTGCTTCTCCCTCTGACCCTCCCCCCTCTCGTGTTCTCTCTCTCTCTCATTCTCTCTCTCAAATAAATAAATAAATCTTTAAAAAAAAAAAAAGAGTATCTTTTATCTAAAATAAGATTAACTGATGGAAGATTTGATTTGAAAAGAAAATAATCTTGCATTTAAAGTAGAACATTCAAGGTCAGAGGAAGGTCAAACGAATAGTCGGATTTCGTGTCTTGCTTTGGCAATAAATCACCCATTTCCTGACCATCCTCATACAACACTCACCTGTGTACATTTTCTTTCTCATAAATGCTACTTTGAGATATTGATTTCTTTTAAATGTTTCAAACATGATTGTGTGGGGCTGGTAACTGCTTTCCTAGTTTTATGCATTTTATTGACTGTTTTTAACTTTATATTTATGCCTTAAGGCATATTACTATAAAGGCACCATTTCATAAATTGAAGGAAGAAAGAGATAAGCGGTGGATGGTCAGAGAAATCAGATCCCGAGCCACTGGGATGAGAATGCTTCCATTTCTGTAGCAATTTATTTCTCCAAAGGATAAGCATCTAATCCAACCTGTGGCTTTGAAATCTATATTTTTCTCCACTTGACCATTCTTCCCTTTTCCACGGTCGCTCTGCAGCCTACAACTATGTTTGCCAGATGGATGCCTCAGCCCCATGTCTGCACAGATACTCTCTACAGTCTCCTCCACGCTAGCTGCAAGCATGCTACTCCTTTTTAGTCCACCGAGCATCATCACCACTAAGCAATCTGTCAACCTTGTGGCATTTCATCATGCATGCAAGAGTATTTTTGAATATATGAGTTCACTCTGGTATGTAGCGCTAGGGCAAGACCGTTTTGAGACAAATGGAAGAACTGGAGGTTTTCTCCATCTCCGTCCTGAAACTTTTGTCTTTTTCCATGCACTTACAAGAAACCAAAGGACTCGGTACAGTGTAATGTATAACAGTGAAAAACTGGAAAGAATCCAAATGTATTTTAAAAGGGGATCGGGTAAGTAAATCACGGCAGGCACAACTGCATCATATTCTGTAGAAATTAAAAATAAAGATTACAAAGAATTTAAATGCCATGGGAAATTGCTTGTGATGAAATCTTATGTAATAAAAGAGAGCTATAAAAGTTGATATACATTATAGTTTTACGTAAAAAAAATTGCATGGGAAAAATAAGGAAATGAAATATATATAAATATTTCTTCCTTATATATTCCTATATTTTCCTAAGTGTCTACATGGAACTGCCATTACTTTTGTGATCAGGAAAATTTAAACATTGTTTTTTCAAAGAGGAAAACTCTGTTCCATATTTCATTCCTTTTAAATAATCACTTGGTTGAAGAAGTGCCTGCATATCATTTCTACAGCTTCAACGAATTTTGAAAGGAAAAGTGATCAATCTTCCACTGGCCTGCATATCATTTCTACAGCTTCAACGAATTTTGAAAGGAAAAGTGATCAATCTTCCACTGGCTCCAGAGGAGAGGCGGAGATTTATGGCAGTTACAAAGGAAGGGCATCCATTCGGAGTGTTTCATCATCTTACAGCATCCTTATAACAACCACACAGGGACAAGCTTTAAAAGCTCAAAGTTAGGAGGGAAATTTGAAAGTCATACTACTGATACGATCAAAGTAGATAGTCCAGATCATTCCAAAGCAGATGTTCAGAAGGTGTGATTTCTGGGAGTTCAGTCACAGAAAATGACGTGTGTGTGCGTGTGTGTGTGTGTGTGTGTGTGTTTTCTAGAGACCCAGCTACGTGGCCCCAAAGATCTTTATCACTAATAACCAAACTGATTAATTTTAACATCAACGGGAAAATGCTGGAATTTGCCAGCTCAGTGTGAAAAAGAGGTGGGAAAGATCTTCAGCTGGTATCTTTCTTAAAAAGAGCAGCAATCGGAGCACCTGGGCGGCTCAGTCGTTAAGCGTCTGCCTTCAGCTGGGATCATGATCCCGGGGTCCTGGGATGGAGCCCCGTGTGGGCTCCCTGCTGAGCAGAGAGTCTGCTTCTCCCTTTCCCTGTGCTCACTCTCTCATGCTCTCTCGCGTGCTCAAATAAATAAATAAAATCTTAAAAAAAAAAAAAAGAGTAGCAATCAACTTCATCACTACCCTGCCCTTCTTAACTGGGTACCTCCTCCCAAGGGTGGTTCCCAAGGGTCCACTGTTCTTCCTGCTCATTTCCTTCCCTGCGACCTGAGATTCCTTCTCCTGCCCCCCCAGAAACAGAGGAGTCACAGCCGGGCATCTGTCTATCTTCAGAGACTGAGCTTGGTGCTTCCACATAGAAAGGGCCTGCTGCAAGTATTGCAAGTATTGATGACTAGACCTCACACCCAGATTAGCATCCTTTCTCCATCGTGTGGAAGTTCAGGCCTGGGGTCTCTGAGCTTCATTAAATGCAAAGCTAAATCAGAGGATAATATCTAAGACAACCATTTTGGGGGGGGATTTTGTTTTTTACAGATACCCTTGCCACTTTAATCTGTCATGAGACATCAACTCTTCTAATCCCACAATCTCTTAGAATTACAAAAGGTGGTGGCAGATTATCCATTTGTGAAAGACGACAGCGGTCTTATAAACACCCTGGATGATTCTTTCAGGCAGGGAAGTCCACATTTTAAGATCTGTTAACTGGGCCTTCCTCTATGCCAGCCCTTTGGAGCAAGATAAGAACAGAAGCTCTGGAGCCCGACAGCTTATGAGCTGGGAGGTTCAGGGCAAGTCAACTACCAGAGCTACTGGAACTTTACTTTTCTCACCTGCAAAATGGGTATAATAATAATACCTCCCTCCCAGGATCGTGGGAAAGATGCAATGAGTCAATTAGCCAGAACCTGGTGTGTGACACACTGGCAATATTAACCACCCTGTACAGAGTGCTTTGTTCTCTGGGATCAGAAACATTTCATTTTTATAAATATGACCTCTAATTTTCTCCCTATTTCAGACAACTGATGCTTTTTGCAGATACAACGATGTATACCAGCTTGTTAGATTTCCAGTTATCTCTTCTCTACCTTCGAAATGTTGCATGGCATCATTCTGTCTCTCTCCGGCAGATTAATTTTGGTTTAAAATTGAGACTCATTCACCATACTCTCTTATGATACTGCAAATTTACAAATTGTTGGTGAAGGTTATAAAATAATTAAATATACAGTGCATCCTTTAATGTAACAAGTCTTAGTCATTGATGGTTAGATTTTCTGCTGCCTTAATTCAGTTTTGACTAAACAAAATAAAATGCAAACACATAAGTAGGCCAATGATCATGTTTTATAGTTGGCTGCATTTTGCTGACTACTCGAGAAGTGAGAAATACGTTACCTCGGTGAAGTCAGATTTCTTCTCTGTAACATCAGACTGAAGATTTTTAAAGGCAATTTGATCGTTTGTACTGTACTGGTTGTCCCGTAATCCTAGGCAAAAGGAGATAATATTGCTACTTTTTAGTATATGAAAGGGTAAGATGGAATCTATAACTCTACTATAAAGTTCCACGTCACCTAGTCAGGTATTGTACCAGCCAAGGATGAATCTGGTATATTCTGATCCATGATAAAGCCTTATACAACATTTCCCTCATTCATTCCATCCCCTGATTTAGGCTCCCTGATTTTATTATTCTTTAGTTTACAATTAGGCTGCAAGATTCCTTCTTTCACGCAGTTGTTTATGTTCCTAGATTCAGTAATAGTTGAACAAGTTTGGACTGCTCACATTCTGCCTCATCCCGAGTTTACACCCAGCAGGAGAGAAAATCACATCTAAGAGGTTCCCAACACCACTAGACTTAAGAAAGGTTGAAACATAAGACCAACGTCCATCCAATCTCTTAACACAACAGTGCTTAAAGGAGCCATGCGTGGCCCAGACACGGAGATTGAAGCTGCTTTGGAATAGCTGGGGATAATTTTGTGGTAATACTGCAGGGACAAGTGAGACACTATGGACAGCCCTCCACAGAGACACCTACCACCCTGATGGCCCAGGATATCATCAGTTCCAAGGGCACACAGCAGGCGGCCAAGAATTTTGAACCTGGATTCCTGTTCCGGCCCCACCACCCATGAGTTTCATAAGGATAGATAACGTGGAATTTCCTGATCCACCAAACCTACCCTGCACTCCTCATGGAGCCCTGGATAGGATCCACAACTCAGCAGCACTATGATCCGCCTGGGCACCTGTTGCTAATGCGGGAATGTCTACAAACACAGGAAGGTGGAGTAAAAAGGAGAGTTTGTGTGGCCCAGTCTCTGGAGCCCTGGTAACTATGCTGACTTCCAAATGCAGATATTTTTGGGAAAGTGACTTTTCCAGACCCTACAAGGAATGGTTCCCCAACAGCTGGTGCTGGTGACGAGAAAAAGGAGATTTAAGAAGCACCTCCCTAAGTCAGAGTCCTGTCTTCATCAACTCATGAGAAGCATTCATTAAAAATTTACATATAATTCAAATAACTCAATTTAAAGCATTTTAAAATAATTCAAAGCATTTTATGGAGCAAATGATACGCTATAGTATTTTTATGTTTGGCAGGTTTGCAAAGAGGTCAGGACATGGCTTGCAGGAATTTCAAGGGCCCCTACTGACCCATCCAAAGCCTGCTCATGTCTCACCTCATCCTTAGGTGACGACAGAGCCCCCATCAGCCCCACCCCATACATGTGGTTGTGCCTCCATCTCTGCCCATTACTGAGTGACAGAGATAGTCATCCCAGATGATGTGCACAGATTACTTTCCATGAAGCGCAAATATAAGACCTGAAAGATCTCATGGATTTCTGTGCAGAGTCGATACGTCATGATGAGCTGACAATAAAGCTGATGAAGATGGAAATCTCCTGGCTCTAGTCAGGCAGCATCGTGTCAAGAACTCTAAAGTCAGCACCGGCTTGGGGGCCAGCGAGACCCAGGCTGCAGCCCAGTCCAGCCCAGCCTAGCCCCAAATTCAGATGCAGCAGATGAATTATTCATCTTCTCAGAGTTTCTTTAGCCATAAAATGCAGAGAAGAACACCTCCTGCCCAGCCTTGTCACTGAGGCACTGAGGCTCGTGTGTGTAAAGTAGGTGGCCCTGGGGTGGGACCTGGGGTCAATGCCTGATAAACCACACTGCTTATGACCATTCATGAGTGTCACCAAAGCGGCACCACCTCCCAACCCGGGCCCAGATGGTCACTAGCGTCAGACCGCACTCAGTCCCAGAGTCTCTAGCTACATGTGTGACTTTGGGCAAGTCACTCAGCATCCCTTGGCTCCCTGCTGTGAAGTGGGGGTGACAAGGGAGCCAACTTTATAGAGGGACTGGGTAAGTTCAACCGACCTAACTAACTAGCCCTCAGCACAATGCACACAATGCCCAGAACACGATGACATGGGATCAACATCAGCTCCGGGGAAGTGGCCTCACCCCCGTGGGGAGGAGGGACAGCACCAGGGCCAGACAAGCAGGGGCTGTGCGTTAGTGGCCTGTGGCTGTTACATCAGTGGCCGCCAACTTCGAGGCTCCAACAACACGGATGTGATACCTCATAGCTCTGGACATCAGATGTCTAGTGCACGTCTCACAGGGCTCAAGTCAAGGTCTCAGCTGGCTGCACTCTTCAGAAGGCTCTAGGGAGGGTCTGTCTCCTTGCCTTTCCAGCTTCAAGAAGCAGCCGGCTTTCCTTGGCTCCTGGCCCCACGTCACTCAAACTCTGCCTCCACCATCTCTTCTCCTTCTCTCTCTGAGCCTCCCGCTTCCCTCCTACCAGGACCCTTGTGATTAGATCGGGTCCACGGATCATCCAGGAGAGCTGTCCCATCTCAAGGTTCTTCAATCTGCAAAGTCCCTTTTGCCATGAAAGGTAAGATGTCCACCGATTCCAGGGACATGGACATATTTGGGGGCACCACTGTTACGCCCATCACAGACAAGTTGGGGAGACTGAGGTAGATGCATTGAATGAAATGTAGGGCCTTTAAAACAACAACTATAAAGTCTATGTGGCAAACAAGGGTAAGCACTTACAATGTGCTACTTATTGAAAGAAAGGAAGCAAAAACTTATGAGCCACATAATGGCAACATTAAAAGAAAATGTTCAATATGTGTGAGAATTCCCCAAACCGGTAAACTTGGAACTTGGAGCCACGAACCTAGTTTTGAGTGGAAATGAGGTAGGACTAAAGCCACACAGGAGGATGCCTGACATAATGACCTCAAAGGACGCGAGGAGGTGAGTTACTGGAATGGTTAAAAGCACAGAATCCGGGAAAGAAAGACCCTGATTCAAATCCATCTCTGCCACTAACCACTTGGTCAATTTAAGTAACTTAGGGTAAGTTACTTAAATTGTCAGGGTTTTATTTTCCCATGTGTCAGAGGAAGCAAGACCCATCTCCTAGGGTGGTGATAAGAAATAATGAGATGATGAATAGCAAGGCCCGGCCAGAGTGCCCAGCATGCGGTAACGGACACAACCCTCCACCCCACCCGGTGCCCTCCCACCTGACCACAGAACTGTCACCACCGGTAAAGGCTCCCACCACCGGGTGACCTGCGCTGGCATCTCTGAGGAAGGCAAAGCAGGGGGGACACTTGGGGCAGGTTAGCAAGAACAAAAGTTTTGGCTTTTCCAGTAGTGGGGATCCATCACTCTCGTGGGAAAAGGGTTCATGTCTCCAATACAGAAAATGCATTAGCCAGAATGGATTGCACCTGGCCTTGGTCCTGCCCCCGGGGTCTGTTCCTTCTCTCCACAGTGGGAGCTGGTCTGGCCCTGACCTCTCACAGGGGCAGCTGAAGTCCACTCTACATCAAGAAATTGTCCTGGTTAAAAGGAAACTGGCAGAGGGTGGGCAGGCCCTGAGCCCCTGCAGGACATACACCAGACAAGTGTATGTCATCACAGAAATCCAGCAACCCCGGGCGGAGCCAAATTCTAGTTGTGTCGCTTCGTATAGGTCACATAACCTCATTGATTCTGGTTTCCCCTCTACGAAATTAGAACCTGGAGCTGTCTCTGTTCATGCCCTGCCGTGGCGGGCTGGCCTATCCCCCAGCTGTTGGGAGGATAGCTGTCAGTGATTCACAGCTTTATTCTTCTCTGAGAACCATCTTCTGGGGAGGCTATGCCTTTCTCTCTGTTTGCCCACAGCCCGGGGTGGGGGGGGGAGGGCAAGAAATGGGTACAAAAGCCAGGAAGCTCTATTACTTATGCTCCGAGTGTAACCCAAGGGCCAGAGTGTACCTGAGACCCCATCAGGGCTCCTTAACTCTCTCACAATCCTTTCCCGGACAGCACCCTCTCCCACATGCCCCCCAATCCCTGCCTCAGGTTCTGCTTCTTGGAAACCCAATGGGGTCCTACTTCACAGTGTTGTTTAAGAGTGAGGGCTTTCAAAGTGAGGCTCCTAGACCACCAGCCTCTGCATCATGGTAAGCTTGTTAGAAATGCACCTTCTTGGGTCCCACCCACTGACCTGCAGATCTACTGAATAGAAACTCAGGTGGGGCTTAGCCATCAAAGTTTTAGCAAGCCCTACAGAATATTCGATGCAGCTCAGGTCCAAGAACACTGCTGGTCTTAGGCCAACAAGCTCCTCTTCTACAAATGATGATTTTGAAGCCCCAGGAGGAAACCACATGCTTTTGATGCAAAAACACCCCATGACTTTTAGAAAACCGTATTTGAGGATCTAAGTGGACTTTTAATCAATGGCTTCAATTAAAATGAAGCCATCAAGAATGTCAGCATGTTGACTTTTATTTTGAAATGAATTTAAACATCAGCCTAATTAGCCAAAAATTCATTGCTGGTTTATGGCTCAGTTGTGTTTGGTGCCCAGTGCTCTGGTCCTGTGGCCCCAGGGAGTGTGTCAGCACACAGGCATATCTGGAGAGGTTTTCTCTGCTGAGATGGTTGGAAGGACTATACGTCCTTCTGTCTCCATCAGCCTGAAACACTCATCCAAAGCCACCCAGCCCCAACTTTGAGCCCCTTCCCAGAGGCCACAAGCACCATGTCACTCATGAGGTCTTGAGCCAGATAATCCTGGAATCCAAATTTCCTCTCTGGAGGAAGATGTGCTTTAGCCATGGAATCCAGAGCAAGAACTGATGTAGCACACAGGGTGTTGGGGGCCCAGGAGAGCAGCTCTCCCACCCACGGCTCAGCAAGCCACGGAGAGAGCACTGCCCACCTAGGGACCCCAGCGGGGTTTGGGAGGGGGACACTTGAAATGGACCCATAGGAGGGGTGAATTTAGACAAATGTCCAAGTGGGGTGGAGAGAAGGTGACAGAGCCCGAGCCAAGGCGAACGAGAAAAGCGGGAATAGGGGTGCCTGGGTGGCTCAGTCGTTAAGCGTCTGCCTTCGGCTCGGGTCATGGTCCCAGCGTCCTGGGATCGAGCCCCGCGTCGGGCTCCCTGCTCCGCGGGGAGCCTGCTTCTCCCTCTCCCACTGCCCCTGCTTGTGTTCCCTCTCTCGCTGTGTCTCTCTCTGTCAAATAAATAAATAAAATCTTTAAAAAAAAAGAGAGAGAGAAAAGCGGGAATGGCTTAAGGTGTAAGAGCAGGAAGATGCAGGGTATTTGGAGGATGGCCAGTGGCACATTGGGTGAAGCCCAGGGCGGAAGCGAGGAATCCCGACAGTTCCCACACAGCACCCGACACAGCTCGAGTCGTCGCTGCAGAAACAGCACACAAGCGCCAGGGCGCATTGCCCGGCAAATCACTCCACCAACGCGGGGTGCACCTGGGGAGTGCCCAGCCTTCCGTTAGCTTAGTGAGCACCCTGTCTGCCTTCCTGTCATGCACGTCAGGGACAGAGAAGGCATACTCAGGTGCCCACATCTGGGACCTGTAAACGCCCTTCTTCATTTTCAGTCTCACAGGAGCCACAGATTGCTCAGAGCCTTCACCATGCTTTATTTATTTATTTGTTTTAAAGATTTTATTTATTTATTTGAGAGAGAGAGAATGAGAGAGAGCACGAGAGGGAAGAGGGTCAGAGGGAGAAGCAGACTCCCCGCCGAGCAGGGAGCCCGATGCGGGACTCGATCCCGGGACTCCAGGATCATGACCTGAGCCGAAGGCAGTCGCTCAACCAGCTGAGCCACCCAGGAGCCCTCACCATGCTTTAACAATACCTTCTGAAAATATTTTAAAACAGATGTTTCTCAGAATCACTTGTCAAATTTAAATGGAACTTGTCACTTCTGTGGGATCTGACCCTGTTAGCTACCCAGTGTCTCTGGAAGATCTTTCCACCTTTGACTTCTGGAACAACGGGTCTTCTGTGTTCCTCCCTCCTGGCTACTGTGTCTTGCTTTCCTTTGCAGGTTCTCTCCTTGACACATCGTGGCCTTTGCTTGCTTCATAAACCAATGCCAAGGAAGGACCCAGATCTCATCTGTGAGCATCAGCTAGAACCAGGCTCAAGCTCGGCTAGTGTGAAAGGGAACCAGCCGACTCGCTGCGGGTCGCTGCCACCACCGGCCTCCTCTGCCTCTCCTCCCCGTCAACCCTGCATCCATTATCTTGGTGAACAGCCCCCATCCTCCTATCCCCCACAATAGAAATCGAGGTGTCCCCTTCCACGCCCCTCCTTTCTCTCACTTCCAATGTCCAGCGGAAAGCCAACGCCTATTTTCTCTTACGAAATAGGCTCTGCTCCATCCCATCTGTTTAGTCTCCCTCTTTACAAAGGGCCCCAGACACTGGATTTAAGGCCCACCCTAATCCAGTCTGACCTCATCTTGACTGCATCTGCAAGGACTCCATTTCCAAATTAGGTCACATTCACAGGTATTGGGGGTTAGGACTCCAACACATCTTCTGGGGGAACACAATTCAGCCCGCATCCGTGCCCCCGACAGGCTGTCACGACCGCCTGCCCTTACCATACTGTTCTGTAATTAACTGTTCACGAGGCTCTCCCTGAGTGGACCGAGGTCTTTAGGGGACGTCCTATTCATCTCCTTCCTCCCATGCCTAGTCCAGCACCTGGCCAACTGAGGACGCTCACGGAATGTTGACCGAATGAACCAGTTATTTTATATTTTGACAAGAGTTACATCTGCGGGGAAAAAAATCACAACATACCTTCCTCGGACAGTTTTATCATATTCCACTGGCGTTTCAAAGACATTTGACTCCGTTTCAAAGGTCTGTTAATGACAAGGATGTTTTTGGCTAAAAAAAGAAGAAGAAGAAAGAGCAGGCACCGTTTACATCTGTAACCACTCTTGGAATGAGTCAGGCTCCCACCGTCCGCCCTGGGCTGAAGAACCTCAGAGTGTTCTACCTGTGATGAAGTCACCAGAATGTTTATGTGGCAACAAGGATGGGGCAGGGAGTCCACCCGGGTTCCATTTCTCGTTAGCAACAGCAACAATCATCACGTTGATGTTTCTATCTGAGGCTTCTTTGACAAGTAAGAGAAGTTTGCACGACCATTATTTAACAGTTTTCTGCAGAGCACTGAGATGCCGGACAAGGAGCTATGCTCTCTCCTGCCTAAAGTCAGATACCAACTTCTCCTCTTCCTCCCCAGAAAGTGTGAGTACTTTATTTTTTGCCTGGGTTTTGATGATGCTGGTTCTCTTACCAAGCCGCATTTTTACTGTTTAAAAGTTCCCTGAGTATGAAAATGCATTCAGAAAATATCACAATGTTAATTTGTTTAACCCACTTTTAATACGTTACCAAATTCTGCAAACCGGGTTATCTAGAATATTGGGCAATAGGACAGCCTGTTTACCATGCAAGCTATTGTAAGAACAATTGGTTTTCATACAATTTAATAAAACACTTTTGACACTAAATTATAATGAACATTGTTTTATAATTTATGCCCGACCACATTTGAGGTAGCTTATAATTAGTAAGAAGGATTTTTTTAAAAAAGGTAAAACTGTGATAAAAGAAGCAAGTGACGAGCTAAAGAAATCGCTGACCCATAACGCCTGGACTAAAGATGACACTGGCATGGATGAATCACAACCTAAGGGCGAGTTTGCAACAGCCAAGGCCAAAATGAGACATGATAAATTGCATAACTCATTGCTTTTCAAATGAAATACGCTGTTTCCTAAGGAAAGTAGTTTCATCCCCTGGGATAAGACAGTGAAAGCATGGGTCATTACATAAATGAACAGCACCTCTGTAAGCCTTTTCATAAACACCAAACCAAGGTAAATTTCACTGGATAATCCCAAAGTGCTTTGAGTCTGGTCAGTGCCACTAATACATCTTAATGGCTAAAATTTCCTTTTCCCTCTCTGCAAGACAATCGATGTTGGATACAGTGTCATCTCCTTCAGTGCTCAAAATGGCCTTATGAGGAGGGCGCTATTATCACCCCCCGTTTTACAGGTGAGGAAGCTGAGCCTCATTTAAATAACCTGCAAGTGTCACCCATCCAGTGAGCCTCAAGCTCAGACTTTGCGATATTAAATGATCACTGTACCTGTAGAAAAGGTAGAAACGGGAAGAGCCTGTAGATCTGGTAACATCTCTGAAGCCTGAGAAAGTGCCTGGGTTTTGGTGACATGGCTGAGGTGACACCCGGTATCACCACATTCTAATGCTATGACCTTGGACAAGACATACCACCTCCAAGCCTGTGTTTGCTCCTCGGACAGAGAGGCATACTGACATAGACACTGGACGGCTGGGAACTCTGAAATGGGATAAATGAAGGTTTTGTGGGCTCAGCACCGTGCCTGGCACCCAAGGGGCCCTAGAGAAAACAGAATCCATTATCAGCTACAATTTTACACAGAATTTTTATCTCAGAAAATTAAGGTAATAAAGATGTCTTAAAAGTCTATCCACCAATTTTGCAACCATTTTGTAGCTGATTTCTGAGATGCCTGGGATCTGAGGCACCGTGTCTCTGGCCCTTGGTGTCCGGGCTGGCTCCCTGGGGGACAGCACAAGGGCTGTGCACCAAATGTGATCGTGCGTATGCACCAGTCTGTAAGCCCTGACGCCCACTCGTGTACAGTATTCCTGTAATCACACCACGACCTCAGTGCCACAAACGTTTAATGAGAACCCAACATCTTGGAGGACCTGAGTTAGGTGCTAGGGTAGCAAAGATGAGTAGGGCACTGGAGTCCCCGTCTTTGAAAAACTCATAGCCTAACGGGGGCAGGAGACACAAAACTAGACCTCTTTCAATGCCATGTGGATTTGATCATTTCCTCTTATGGACTGTCGTCTTTTTAACCGCTTAACTGGGGTGAAATACACATATATAAAGTTACCGTCTCAACCATTTGTAGTGTCCAATTCAGCAGCATTCGGTATATTCCCACTGTTATGCAACCACCACCACCATCCAGCCCCAGAACGCTCTCATCCTGTACAACTAAAACTCTGTCCCCATAAAAATGAATTCCCCATTCCCCATCCCCCAGGCCCTGGAATCCACCATTCTACTCTCTGTCTCTATAAACTTGACTACTCTAGAAACCTAACGTGTGTGGAATCATACAGCGTTTGTGCTTTTGCACCTGGCTTGTTTTGCTGAGCGTGTCCTCAGAGTTCCTGCGAGCTGTAGGTGAAATCTGCATTTCCTTCCTCTTTAAGGCTGAGTAATATTCCACTGTCTGTTTGGAGCACATTTTGTTTCTCTGTTCGTGTGTTGGTGGACACCGGGTTGCTTGCACCCCTCAGTTATTGTGAATAATGCTGCCGTGAACACGGCCATACAAATATTGCTTCGAGTTCCTGCTCTCGATTCTTTCTGCAGGTCACCTTCTGCCTTTCATTCTGATTTCCTGTTGGTCTTATTACCAGATCTTTTCTTAGCAAACACTAGAGTTATTTTTTTGAAGGGGAGGTAGGGCAAAGAGATAGACGCATGGAGGGATCATTTTAGTAGCCCTCTTAAAAGCATCTTTGAGGGGTGCCTGGGTGGCTCCATTGGTTAAGTGTCTGCCTTCAGTTCAGGTCATGATCCCAGGGTCTTGGGATCAAGCCCCGCGTCAGGCTCTCTGCTCAGCGGAGAGTCTGCTTCTCCCTCTCTCCACTCATGCTCTCTTTGTCTCTCTCAAATAATAAGTAAAATCTTAAAAAAAAAAAAGCATCTTTGAAAAATTATAATTCCCCCCCCCTTTGTACCCACATGCACAGTGGGGAGGGGAGCAGGGAAGGGATCTTGTTTTAAGTCCTTGACAGAGGTAAGCAAGTAAGCAGAGGTGGCCTCTGTCATGTAACCCAAATACCTTCAGTGTGGGCTCCAATGTGGAAAGGAGAGAACACAGCTCCCCTCTCAAAAATGACTCCATGAGTGGGGGAAGGGGGTGCAGCCCAGGTCAGAGAAAACCAGGGCCTCGCAGCAGGGGGGACGGGCAGGGCTTCTGCTGGGCTCCCAGGGAATGGGCAGACTCACATAAGCAGGGGGCCTGGGTCTGGGCAGCACACAGGAACAGTGGAAGAGGTTGAAACAAAGCAGTGTTCCCTCCTTTCTTTTGGCTTTAAAAGGGACACGGAATGACATGGCGGGCAGAGTCCAGACGGGCGGCAAGGACATTGGGCTCAGATCCCACCTGGCCACTCAACCGTGACCTTGAGCAGGTCAGCCCATCTTCCAGGCTCAGCTTCCCCGTCTGTGACATGTGGAGTGGCTGGGGCCTGCGCCGCCTCAGGGACACTGTCTAGCTCTGCCATGCAGCCCTGTCCCAAGACTGCCAGCCGCAAGGTGTCGGGCACATTTGAGGGTGTGTGTGTGAGAACACGGCGTCTCCACTCCAGCTTGCTTCTTTCACCAAGCGGAAAACAACACCACGCACCCTCTTCTCCAAGGAACATCAAGCTCGCTGAACAAAAGTCATTATTACCTGGTACTGAAAGTCACAGAGTGGTTTGAGTTTGTAGGGGCCCTTCTGCCTTCACAGGTGGTGGCAGAAAACTGGGACCCTGGAATGGACAACAGGGACCGGAAAGAGCCCCCACCCCCACTCCCCCGGTGTGACCCAGGCTGCCACAGGACCGGCTCGGCGGTCTCGCCACGGAGGCAGCTTTCTGGAGGATGAGCGAGGATGAATCGTTGGCTTTGAGATCAAGCCTGGATAGCAACCAAAGAGGCAAGGAAGAAAAATGGGCCATCTCGGAAACCTCCTGCCAAAGAACCTGGAGCTGCCTCGGGCCCACCTCCAACCACACACTCCAGTGACACCAAGAGAACCTGTCGGCTCCGGGTTCGTTATGTAAACAAGCTGCGGAAATATTTTCATAGGATGTCAGCATGGATTTCCTCTCCTCCCCGACGGGCAACGTGACTCTGGTTTGGGGGTCCTCTTCCTCACTGACTCGGCCCGGGGCCCGTCTGGAGCCTAGAGCAGGAGCCCGCCGAGAGGAAACCAGGCTGAACCAGGCTGCCCCCTGTGCCGGCCACAGGAGGGTGGTGCCGCCCCCGAGGGTGCCTAGACTCCCATCTCTCATTCTTGCAAACCTCTGGCGTAAGAGCCTCGGGCAGCACTGGGGCAAGAGCTGCTGGGCCTGACCCAGATCCCAGATCCCAGAGCCCCGCCCTGGAGGAAACCCGCAGGCTGCGAGATGCTCGCCCACACTGGTCTGAGTGTGGCTCCCGAGTGGCCTCCCGATACAGCTCTCCTCCCTAACAGCTTAGCAGCCGCGCTGGCAGGTGGGCGAGGTGGCTCTGCTCGCGGGGCGTGCTTCGGGTTTTGAGTGATGCGGGTTTTCCGTCTTTCCTGTTATCCCGGTTGCTCTTGTTTAATGGAGCAAAGATCCAGAGCTCTGAGTTCCCTACTTGTCCCTCCGGCTCTAACGGACCCTGAACGCAGGCAAGAGCCAGGAAAACCACCCCCTGAAACGTGGAGGCATCTCAGAATCGAAGGGTACTGGCTTGTTCACACCTCCCACTTTGCAAAAACAGGAAACCGAGGCTGGGTGTAGGACAGGGCTTGCCGGAGCAGCTCCAGCTGGGGAGTGGCGGAGTCAGGCTCCCTCCTGGGAGAAAGCCCTGATCTCCAGCTCTCCCTCACACTATCTTCTACTGCATCCCTCCCAGCTGGGCTGACCTTTCCTTTCCGCAGCTGATTTTTTTTTTTTAATAACAGCTTTATTGAGCTATAACTCACATACCATAAAGTT